ACTCTGTCATCTGAAATCGTGTTATGATATATCAGTAGCAGTTCGGAGTGACTTCAGTCGTTCGTAGAATTGTGCATTGGTATCTCCTAGCAAAGTAAGACATTCCGCCTCTTAGAATACATAGCGTGCTTTTGATTTCAGTTCCAGAACGCCAGAGCGCCATACGCATGCAGAACGTGACGTGTGATTGTCACTCAGCCTTCCATATGACTACACCACCTAGTGTCTCTTCGCCCTCTTATCCTTGCCAGGCCGTTTGCTTGCACCGCCGCTGGGCTTGCCCTTCATCCTGCGAGCCGAGAAACCGCTCCCGTCTGCACTGGATTCGGCGGTGTTACTCTTCGCGTGACGCTTCTTGCCACCGAAGCCGTACTTCGAGTCCTTCTTCTGGCGCTTGTTGAAGTCCTTGCCGCCAGCACCACCACGACCGCGGCGGTCGGACTTGTCGTCATCAGCGGTTGCGGCGACGTCGAAGAGGTCTTCCTCGTGGGTGGCTGTGATGTCGGCTCCTTGTCGCTCTGCATGTTTGTCAGTATACTGTCGTTCAAGTTCTCAGATATGGGTTGAATATACTCCTCTTGAGAGTTTGGATCTTCTCAATGGTGTCCTTCTTCTCCTTGGCGCGCTCCTGCAGCTTCGCGACCTGAACCTGCTTTCCGAACTTCTTCAAGTCTCTCTGCTTGCGTGCCTCAGCAGCGGCCTTCTTGCCTGCCGCGGCATCAATCAGCTTCTGCTTGATCTTGCCCATGTGCTCGTCGCTCTTGACCATCTCCGCGAAGTAGTCGGCTGGCCGAGAGAAGGACACACCCTCCTTCTTCAACTTCTTCCGCGCATCCTTGACCGAGGACAGGCATTGCTTGTAGAAGGCGAGCTCACGGTTGAGGTCGTCCTCGACGTCGGCGATCTCGACAGGCTCGTCGGTGGTAACGGACTGGTATTCCGAGAAAGCGAGTTTCGAGTAGGGGAGTTGGATGCGGTTCAAGGCTGCGGTGAGAGCGGCGGTGTTGTTGATGGTAAGGCGCTGGTGCGGGATAATGTCACCCTTGTCCTCTGAAGCGACGGAGTCCAGATCGGACAGCGCAATGTCATCCTCGTCATCGTCCTCGTCATCGTCATCCTCAGCGTCTTCATCCTCCTCTGCGGCCTCATCAGCCTGTATCTCCTCCTCGTCTGAGCTGATGTCGCTATCGGTGTCGTTGAGGTGGTCAAGGTCTACTTGAAGTCCATTGGGCGCGTCTTCATCGTCGCTTGCGTCGTCGTCGTCATCCTCGCCCTCGGTCTCCCACTCGGGCTCCTTGACTGCTGGCGCAGCCTTTGCGTCGGCCTTCTTGTCCTTCTTCGACTTCTTTATCTTGCCATTGACCTTCACCTCTACCTCATCCAGCGGCACAGGCACGCCGCCCTCCTCGGTATCCTTCTCGCCCCCCTCCGCAGCCTTCCTGGCCTCGCGCTTTTCCTTGCGCTTCAGCGCCTGCTTGACGTACTTCTTCTGCTTCTCACGCTTGATGTCGCGGCCCTGGTAGTTGTCGAGCGCCGACTTGAGAACGCCTTTCTTCGCCATGTCGACTGAGGTTTATGGGGGTTCTGAAGGGTGTGGAGTATCGAACGTCGCAAAAGTCAAGACGTCAAAGCTTCCTAGAAAATAATTCGTGAACTTCGAAGTCTGGGCGCAGAAACATTTTAGCGCGTACGCTAGCTTGACCGCCTACGAAACGGGCAGGAAGCCGCGGCGAAGACCACGTGCTCCGCGACCTTACATATCCACCGTATGCGCATCTCTCCTGTATGATAGCAGACCGCTTGACAATCGCCTTGTGAGGTGCTGAAATTTCCCCAAATCCGCAGACTACTCGTTTCGTTCTTCACTTTCCCCACAAACACATTCAGTCATGGCGACACCCCAGCCACTAGCAGACCGCGCGCAAAGCGACACTGCGGTACGTGCTTGTAACACTCACGATGCCCCGCTCTACCTAACACGAGCATAGTCCGCTGTCTCAAAAGATGCCGAGAGTTCTGGAGAGCTCACAGCAGTTGTCGATGACCTACTGAACCAACTCAACACCAAGTTCACCACAGTCAGCAGCGAGCTGCTTGCCAAAAGTAAGGGCAAGCATGTCTAAAGCAGATACACTAGATGCTGACGATGCGTAGTGGATGACATGTCACGGCGGCTGGATAACCTCGAAGCAACTATCCAGGCTGGAGACGGTACCAAGGGCTCAGGGTCTGGCAAGTAGATTTACAGGGAAGGCATCATGTTTGGTCAAAAGTAGGCGGTGTGCATCGCGCATGTCTCAGTCATTGGCGTTTGGTGTTAAATTACATAGATCGTATGCAATCTGGGTATTGACTTTCGGTTCTCTGCCACTTGTTCCTCTTTCTCATTGTCATGATCACGTATGCCTGTCGCTCCTGCGCCAGGCCTCTTTGCGCCCCCAGCTCATCGTATCATCTTAATAGTGTTGATGGTATGCCTCATTGCGGAATCTTACTTCACGCACGGGTCATCTACAACTCAGACTTCTCCTCCTCGGCATCACCCATGAACTTCCTCAGGATGTTGCTCCTGCTCATCAAGTCATCCATCTTCTCGGGTGCCAGGTTACCCTTGGCAATGAGTCCCTGCAGACGCTTGAGCTCTTTCGCAGCGTACTCCTGGTTGGCACCGATCTTGTTGAAGACCTTGACGTAGTACTCCGCGTACTTGTCTTGCAAAGTACCAGCGAGGGTCTTGGCCTCCTCAGCACCGCCGGCCCACGAGCCCTGGAACTTCTCAATGAGGGTGTTGAAGGCCTCAATGGTGCCACCAGTGGCGTCAAGACCACCACTTACAGCACGGTGGGTACCGGCGTTCGCGTTGATGAAGTCGACGAAGTCCTTCTCGGCGCGGGCGCCGTTGTAGGGGAGAGGCTCGGTGGAGCCCTTGGGGAAGTATTTGATGGTCGGGTAGGATGACACGCCTTGCTCCTGTGCGAGAGCCTTGGAGTTCTCAGCTTCAGCGTCGACCTTGGCGATCAAGACACCGGGTTCGGTAACGAAGTCGTTGGCGAGGGTCTCCCAGACGGGGGCGAGAGTCTTGCAGTCTGCGCAGATGTTAGCTATGAGGCATTCCTAGAGAGGGGGCTAGGAAGACATACGTCCGCACCATGGAGCAGTGAAGGCAACGAGCACATCCTGGTCCTTTCCAACCTTCTCCTTGAAGGTCTTGTCGTCCAAATAGACGACCTGGCTAGGCAGCTTGCCCTTGACCTTAGGCTTGACCGAGCTCTTCTCTGTGATGAACTTGCTCAAGCTCTCAAGGTCGCGTCCGCCGCTGTAATCCGTAGGCTTGTCGCTCTTTCCGTCGAACCACTTGAGGGTAGGGAAGCCTGAGACACCGAAACGCTTGCCGAGCGCCTTGTGAGCATCAGCATCGACCTTTGCGACGCTGACCTTGTCTCCAGCGTGCTGGAAGACGCCAGCGAGCTCATCGTAGACGGGGGCGAGGTTCTTGCAGTGGCCGCACCAGGGAGCGAAGAACTCTACGAGGGCGGGCTTGCCGGACTTAAGGACGACATCGTCGAAGTTGGAGGGTGTGAGGTCGATGACGCCGGATGCCGAGGCAATTGCGGGCAGCAGCGCAATGGCTGCGGGTATTAAATTGCGGAAAAGCATTTTGAAATTGTGTGAAGCTCAAGGATGAGTTGAAGCTCCAAATGTGTGTTGAAGAGCGGTGGGAAATCTGGTGGGGAGCTAGAGCAGCACAGCGGCTATCAGGGTCCCGCGGTGGCGATCGCTAGTCTGAAAGGTGTCCTTACGCGTCTCAACTTTACAAATCCAACACCAACGAGACGGGATGACGTACACTGGATAGTGATCACGCATACTAATCACGGTCTTAGTCGTATATACAGCTGTTGATAAATATTTTATACTACAACATGCATTCAATTCCTGGGTATTACAAAGACATCGCCCTCTAGACCTGCAGGTGGCCATCACCTCCTAAACCCTCCAGATCTAATGCAACGACATCTTCCAATTGTTCCCCCCAGTCATCCCATAGCTACCACTAACGGTCTTCTCGTCTTCGCTTTTCTTTTCTTCTTCAACCTCAGGCTTGACCTCAGGCTTCTTCGCCTCCACCTTCTCCTCCTTAACCTTCCCCAGCTCACCAGCAACCTTCTCCACCGCAACCTTCAGCGCCCTCACATCCGCGCCCCTGATCTCCTCAACCTTCTTTCCGTCCTTGAAGACCATGAACGTCGGCATAGCTGTGACACCATATTGCCCCGCGATCTCTCTCTGCTCATCTACGTTGACTTTTACGAATGCGAATTTCCCCGGTGAGGCATGCGTGGTGGAGAGTTGGTTGTAGATGGGCGCGATCTGCTTGCAAGGTGGACACCATGTTGCGTAGAAGTCGGCAATGAGATAGGTGTGGCCATTTAGAAGGGTGCGGAAGTGTAGGGGTGCCGAGATTTCTGTTGGCATGGTTGGTGTTGGTGTGTCTGTCAAGGCGGCGTGCTAAGGTTGTGTGTCGAGTGATTTGAGTGTTGTGTCTTGCTGAAGGGCTGTTGAAAGGCGACTGTAGTGTATTGGAGCTGTCGTAGGATTCAGGCTGTACTTTTGTATTTGTTTGACTGCGATGGCGCGACCTTGTGGAATGTTCTTTCCAATAGATGCGCCATACCACGAATGGTCTGGCCAATCAGCATTTGTCATCAGCATCACGATCACGTGTCGGTGCACTTGCCGCATCCGGTAGTCGGTGATATCTGCGCGGGAGAAGCTATATATGCTGGCGCAATGCGTATACGGAACCTTTGAACGGAGTCATCAATCATGCAGATAGGAGGGCCTGTTCTAAACTGATGGATGGTCTCGCGGAGGTTGATTCGACAATGATGTACATGCCGATAGCAGTCTTAAATTCCAGAAAGTCCACAACGCCTCGCTATGCCATCATGAGCAGTTGAACCCAGCTGCTCTTCAAGAATTGAATGACCTTTCAAAGCTCAGCCCCCACCCCTCCCCAGTATCTCCTCCCTCTCCAGCACTTCAGGCTTAAACTTGATCAAGAAGACTGTCTTGCCCGGCCACAGACCCTTGCCTTCCTCGTCGCCTACACTATGCGCTGTCACGCCCTCGGTTGGGAACCCCGCACCATCACACACACCCTCAATTATGCCCGCAACAAAGGCCGCGCAGTTCAAACTCGACAGTTCTTTGGGCAGACTTATGTATTGGTTGACCATCGGGTCGTTGTCGAAGAGCATGTACTGTCCTGGGTCGGTGCCAGACTTTTCTAATGCATCCGCGGGTCGACCGAATAGGTAGCGGTATAGCTGTTGCGCGATGAACTGGAGGAGAGGCAGGATACGAGTGGGCCGAATGCTCGCGAGGGGGTTGGCGGTTCGGGAGAGGAGAAGGTCGAGTAAGCGGAGGCCAATGGGGTAGCCTTGTGTATTCAGTCTAGATGGTGTCAGAACACGTTCGGCTGGAAACCCAATGCGGTATGTCGCAGTGCGTAGGTGAAGTTCCGCAGCTGCATGTGTCTAGCATACCTCTGCTCCAAGTCTCCCACATCCTTCGCGCCCTTCTGCGCATACGCAATCATCTCAATGAAGAGGTACGCAAACGCCGCTCTGCTAAGCTCCGCATTCTTACTCCGGTTCAGATTCCTGTCGTATATGCTCTTTTTATTTGACGGGTACCGCAGCCCAGGCCCTTGACTTGGGGTGCCGCTCATTGCGATGTGCTGCCCTTGTGGTTGCGATTGTGTGCCGGGTTGCGGACGGATCGTGGCTGCAGAGGACGATGTCGACGGCTTTTGCGCAGTGTCTACGGACCGAGAGAGGGACGACTGGCGCGAGGGGTAGTACGAGTGGTGTAGGGGCAGGATGTTGGACATGGTCGCTATTGAACCCTGGCGGTGTTGTCTGGCGGAGTGATGTGGGTCGGAGGGTCGTGCGTCGTGCGTCAGACTTGCCGCGGGTCGAGGATGCTAGGGATCATCTTCGGTGCTTAGCTAACATACGACTTTCAGAATACAATAATTCTCAGGCCTCTCGACCACTTTTACTCGACGAACTTAGTAGTGCATTCTGTTTGCCTCACCGGACTGGGAAGCTCAGCGCCTGCAGATGAAAAGGTGGAGTGAAGTCAATCATAGAGCAGCGAGTTAGGCCGTGGACAGTACGTCAGATGCTTTGATAGCGTGTTATTTAATACTACGTATCAAGTAGGAAAACAGACGCAGCAACCCGTAGGAAGCCACTATTTCCGACACTTACATCTCTCCGTTGTGTCGCGCTTCAGCATGACGACAAACCGCCTGGACTCCGCGCTTCGATCGCCACCCGTCGTGCTCAGCAGCAGTCTCCATGTAACCATCAGGCATCTCGATCATATCTCCATACAGCTTTTCAAGCTTCTTGTTCTCATCATCCACACCCTCCGAGCCGACTACTTTGCGTGCCTCACCAGTAGATGCCTTCCTCCAGTCCTTGTACCATTCCTTGAACCTCTCCGTCAGGTTCATCTGATGCCACTGTAGAACTCCCATCATCGCCTGCACATCGGTGCGGCGGATATCAAACTGAATCGGGATGATGGCGGTGGTGTTGTTCGGGTCCGCAGCAACATCGCGCATGTGAGGTGCACCCGACTGCTCGATCTCAAGCTCCGCGCGCAGGTCACCGTTGAGCTTTCTCTGTTGCTGTAGTGCAGCCAAAGCATCACCCCGTTCCTTCTTCATCCTGCGTTCGGATGCGAGGTGGTGTTGCTTGTCACCTTGGGCGTCTCTGGCCTTCTCTTCCTCCTTCGCCGCCATGTCCTTAGCATTCTTGACCTTCTTGTTGGCACCCTTCAGCTTCCGCGTCCTTCCATCGTTCTGATTGCCCAGATTGACATTTTCGTACTCGATGGTCTTCAGTGTGTCTTTCAGCTGCGTGTTTTCGGATTGCAGACGCGTGACCTCGCTTTCGAGGCGGTTGAGACGGCGTACGGTGTCAGTCGGAAGGTCAGATGCCGCGGCAGCTTTCGACGTCTTTCGATCTAGATCTTCGATGGTCTTGCCTCGTTCCTCAGCTTGCGCTTTCCAGTAGTCGCTCTCTCGGCTCAAGGCTGCGATCACGGCTCGCAGACGGGCTTCTTCTTCGTCATTCGCTTCCTGCTCTTCATCCACTGCGTTCTCCTGCCATAAGCCTCCCGTGAGCTCTACAACAGGCGCCTTGCGTACCGACAGGCTAAGCGACAAAGTCTCGGAACGCAAGTCGTCAGGAACGTGAAAGAGTGCGTCTAGATTGAAGCTCATCTATCGTTGGTTAGTATGGGCGCATGCTCAGTTGTTACGCGACATACCTTGAGTCGTATCGAGGTGGCTACACTATATGGACATCATGAAAGCCACCATGCGAGGTTGCAACGTAGTTGTCACGCCAAGCATTTAGACTCTGGTGAGGTGAAAGCCAAACAAGACGAAACGGGAAGGCGCGCTGGTCACCGCTTTACCGTTAAGGCATCCTCTGGTCCGATCACTCAATTCTCAATTGCTCTATGACAGCTGCGAGATCTCGCACGCGGAAGGGCTTCGGAACTGCGTCGTCCATTCCAGTCTCTCGCGCGCGCTTCAGTTGCTCGGGTCTTGCATTTGCGGTAACAGCGATGATGTGTAGATGCTTATCGATTGACCCGTCCTCCTGCGCAGCGCGAATCATACTCGCACACTCAAGCCCATTGACAATGGGCATCTCAATGTCCATAAGGATGACGTCGATTCGTGGCTCGTCGACGCGTGGTTGCGATGAGGTCGAGCCCTTCCAGTGTTGCGTAGTTTTGATGAAGTCGAAAGCTTCTTGGCCGTTGTCAGCTGTGTAAACGATGTAGCCCTGGAGTTGCAGCTGTTTCTTAAGGACCCGTTGATTGACCATGTTGTCTTCCACAAGCAGGATGCTAGATTGCGTGGTCGGCGGCGCATCCGCAGCGGCACCCATCGCATGAGGCAGCGGCGAGGTTGGTCCTTCGCTAGTGATAGACTTTTCGGAGCTTCTAGTAGATAGAGACGGTCTCGGTGGTGAAGCCCTAGATGCTTTTGTATAAAAAGCAAATGTCGACCCGATATGTTGCTGAGACTGAAAGCCGATCTCGCCACCCAGCAAGCCCACCAATTTCTTGCTGATGGACAACCCCAGCCCAGAACCGCCGTATTTGCTGTATGTCTTGGGCTTGTTCTGGGTGAACTGGCTGAAGACGCGCGCTTTGGTCGATTCATCCATTCCGCACCCTGTATCTTCGACTTTGAACCACAAGAATATTGACCCGTCCGATGGTTCGACCTCGAGTACTGGTTGATCGGTCGACTCACTCTTTTGGACTGCTTTGATGAGACCGTCAAAGATAGCAGTGGGTGGCCAAGCTGCTACTCCGATACGAACAGTGACAGCTCTTTCGTCGGGTCTATCCTTGGTGAACTTGATTGCATTGGCGACCATGTTGAATAACACTTGTGTCACTCTGCCCGGATCAGCATCGATCCAGTCAACACCGAGCTCGCTCAATGAAGAATCAGCTACAGCTACAAGCTGAACTCCAGCCTGTTCAGCCTCCGCTCTGAAAGTGCTTTCGACTTGATTCAAGAAAGTCTTGACGTGAAAGACTGTCGGACAGATTTCCAACAAATTCGAATCCAGTTTGGAGAGCGAGAGGATGTCATCGATGATACGTTTCTGATGCATGGTGCATGCCATGATCGTATCGACAGCATCGCCAATACTGCTGTTGAGATTTCGCAAGTCGTCGGCGGTACGGGAGCTGTCGTTGTCGGGTGCGCTTCGCTTCTCGCACTGGTTGAGGAGAAGCCTTACTTCAGAGAGCGAGTGGGCTATGGAATCCGCACAGTGCATAACAGCACTAAGAGGATTTCGAATCTGCGGTATGTTAGGACATGCAACGACCCGTCCGGAATCCAAAGCGTACTTCATGGCTCACCATGTCAACGAAGCTTCGCCCTGTTAGCACATTGAAGCACACCCTGAGTAAGTTGTCATTTACTTCTCTTGTTGCCGTTTGGCCTCCACGGCTTCTTGCAGCCGCGATTCGCTGAGATGAAGCTGCTCCAGAGCTGCTGCGCGAGCAAGCTCTTGTTGTTTGAGGGCTTCTTCTTTGGCGAAAATGTCATTTCCTATAGCGATGCTTTCTCTCCGGATTTTTTCGGTACGGCTCCTAGCTTCAAGGTTTGCCATCGAGTTCACCTCGTGGGAGAAGTCACGATGGAGTGTCTTAATCCAAGCTTGGTAGGAGCGGTCGTAAGGTGTACGAGGTGCCAGACCGACAATTAAAACCGCATCGATGTTGGCAGTCCGGTTCGAAACACTGGGCAATATGACAGCCTGGTGGCAGATGTCGCCATAGCATCGGCTCGTAGATGCTTGACACATTTCCATTGGAAGAGTACCGTTCTCAGCCTGGAGAAGTACCGGCGAACGAGAATCGACACTCCTGAAGAAGCTTTTCACCCATGCTTCATCCATACTTGGCTCGATTGTGGATAATGGTGCGGTCGGGAAGGAGCCAACGGTGCCAGAGAGGGCGAAGGCGAGCGAATTGGCCTGATTGTTGGAAGGACCAGTTTCTTTCATACTGTCTTGGTTCCTCTCGAAGCGGTACAAAGCAGCGAATGATATGTCCCCATCTCCGTTAGAGATGCCCTTCAAAATTGAAGGCCATAACGTCTCCAGATCCGAAGCAGTCTCGCAAGCGTTACGGAACTCGTCTAAAGAACGCTCGCGGCGAGAGTCCAACACGTCTCGCGTAACGTTGTAGGTTGTGGCATGGAAGCCGCCCAAGGATGGCGGTAGGCCCGTCGTGGTGATGGATAAGAAGACTTCCTCAAGGCGACCATTTCGGGAGAAGAAGAACGGTATATGTTGATCGCTGTTAAATCCAGACTTTTCGCTTGCGTACCCTCTCAGTATATCGACTTCGGGCAGCTGTTGAATGAGAGCTGTGTTGAGACTTATAGGTCGCCCTTGGTACAGCGGATGGTGGTCATGCAGCAGTCGACCATACGCTGTGTTGTAAAGGACAGTCGAATCCGAGCCAAGTAAGAAGAGCTGTGGTTGAGGAGAGAGCATAGCGACGTGGATGAGTAACAACAATTCGCGAGGCCACGATGAAATGAGTCCGGCGGCAGTTCTGGCCCAGTCCAAGTCCCGAATGTATTGCAAGTCGGCGTCGATGGCTGCGTCGCCCGTTGGATTCGTGAGGAAAGAGAGGTGAGGCTGCTCAAGCTCTACCGCCATAATGATCTCGATAGCGCGACCAGACAAGAGAAAGATGTTATGGTACGGACCCGCGGGCTGCTGCGCCAGTATACATCTCAGCCACAATCTGTCGTTGGTGCCGGTCCCGGGGTCAACGGCTTCATGAGTGGCAAGCCAGACGTCTCGTGAGAATCTAGACCGCGCAGGCCATGCAGATTACTCTGTCCAGAGTCTGGACTATCGAACCCTTGGACCCCTACACTGTTCTCCGGGACATGCCGTTCAAGGGCAAGGTACGACGCACTGTCTGGTTGAAAGGGACCTGCGAATACGTTTCAGGTATGCAGGCAATGGCTTCGCGATGCCAGGCAGATGTCGCCTTAGAGCGCTGAGTCGCTGACGCCCAACGCAGCGAGCTGAGCCCATCTCGAGAGTCTTCCGCAGCCACGGGGCAAATTGATGCGAAGGGCATAACAAGCGAAAAATGAAGACTAGCATAGATGAGGCATCACGGCAGGAATGCAGTGGGATTGGCATGCATAGCTCGCCTGTCAAGCCTCAAGCAGCGTCGTGGCCAGATCTCTGCTGGTGCTTCAGCCAAGCTGAAAGCGGTTAGTGCACCCGCCCCTTCTGCGATCTCGAGGCCCGGGACTATCTTGCCGCCCGTTGTTTTTTAGCCACAGCTGACCTTTCTTCTGCTTCGGCGGGAGCGATAGGTTAGTCTATTCAAGCATCGTTCAATTGGAGTTTCACAAGCCTCGTGCCTGGCTTCCGACTGGTTTTGAGGCACTTGTGGCTCCGATGGCTGCCGGCTCTCCCTACACCTAGTCTAGCGCGATCGTCGATCTGTTCACACTACGGAGCCTTGGAGAGAGATTTCGTTCGTCCAACAGCGGAATAGACCTTAAGCTCGAAAGTTGATCCTCCGCTTCGCTCGACCATCTCAGCGAAGAAGATCTCGGATACGGAACTCGAAAGGTTTGCAGTGTGAGAGGAAGCGCTCCCTAGAGGACGCCTGCGAAACTTCACAGCGAAAACCTTTCGGAAAACCTCAGGTGCGCAACCCAGAATCATTCATGGGTTTCAGCTATGGAGGGGCTGATGTATCACGGCCTCGCTGGACGGCGGTCGTCCTTTCGTATATCGTTGGGCGCAAGAAGCACACAGGCAGCGACTCTTGGACTCATGTTTGTCAGATCCGGCTACTCCACCACCGTGTTCAAGTCACTTCCAACCTGTCTGGTCTGTCGCCTGATTACACGCACCGTAATTACATCAAGAATTATATGTAGCTGTAGCGCGTAGTCACGCAGTGTGAGCAAAGTCATGATGGATGGGGTCTACTGACGACATGCGCGGGTCGATGCCTGTTTTGGCAAGACCCCCTGCACTAGGAGCAGCCTTGTGGTTCGCACCGTCGACACTGCGACTTCTTTCATCACGCATGCGCCACCCCCATTACGACTGTTGTTGGCTTTCGGCACTCGAGTCCTCCTATTCAGTGTCTCTTGTACCAGGCAGACGCGGCGACCAGGTCACGCATGTGCCGCTAATGTGGCTGTGGGAAGATCCTGACGGCCCTCAGCCACCAATGGATTTCTGTGACCCCGACGACTCAATGTACTTCAAGATGATTACCACTAAGCTTTCCAGACTTCTCTTTTATTTCGTCTAAGCATGGCTGTACTTACCTCAACCTTCCTCGTTCCTTGGAATACCACCCACTTGTGTGCCACCTGCCGCCTAGTCGCGAAACATGACACGACACAACGATACTACGCGAAATCTCTAAAGATAGCGGCTGCTCGAGGTTGTACTCTTTGTAGATACTTCTATGAAGAGCTTGTCGTTGGCTTCTTAGGACGCTCCGTTGAAGACACCCATCTTGAAGTAGCTCGGCATGGACCATGTCTCGCAGTAATCGACTTTAGTAACACATTGCGTCGGTTCGAGATATTCACTGAGCGTAGGTAGCAGCGATACGAAGCTACCGATATAAAGCTAACACTGGACAGGCAAGCACCCAAGCAACCAGACTTTCTTCAGACGGATCCACTCGCATGCCGATTCCGAACCGTGCTGGGATTTGATACATACATGGCTGGATAGGTGCACATCCACTCATGCATGCTGTCATCAAGAAGAATCACCGTCGATGCCAAACATACTGCTGAACGTGGAGACGTTGAAGTTGGTATATGGATCGTCCTGTAGAGGCGACAAGCGTTATGCCGCACTCAGCCACTGCTGGGGCGCTGCCGGTACTATGTCAGCCACCTTAAGGGCAACGGTGGAAGGATTCAAAACTGGTCTCGACACCCATTACCTCCCGCAAAATTTTCGAGACGCCATATACGCTACCAGAAGGCTGGGCCTCAAGCTACTTTGGGTCGATGCACTTTGCATCGTGCAAGACGACACTGCGAGCCGCGACGTAGAAGTCAGCAATATGGGAAGGTACTACCGAAATGCTTTCGTCACACTTTCTATACTGAGCGCACAAGACTCCCATGTCGGCTTCCTCAAACCTCGAGAGTCAGTATCAACGATCGGTCTGGGTGAGAACCTTCATCTTCGTCGAGCTCGGCCCAGTTGGAGCGAAGTTCTCCAAGAATCCCCGCTAAACAGACGAGCATGGGTATTGCAGGAGCGATTGTTGTCAAGAAGAGTCGTGCATTTCGAGAAGAACGAGATCTTCTGGGAGTGTCTCGAGACCTCTGCAAGAGAAGGGAGTGCGGAGGAGAACCCTGAAGCATGGCAAGAGGGCGAGTGGTCTAACGAGAGCTTCAAGCGCTGCCTTACTTTTGCCAACAATCCGGCCGTGGGGGAGTTTGGCAGACATGTGCCGGAAAGCGAGGCCTTTATGATGCAATGGTATCGCATTGTATGTCAGTACTCTCGGCTGAGTCTCACATACCGCAGCGATGTCTTCATGGCGATTGCTGGCATTGCGCAGATATTTTGCGAAGTCACCCATTTTACATATAAGGCTGGCTTGTGGAGAGAACATGTCCATGCTGGCCTCCTCTGGTATGCCGACGGATCGCTCATGCCCGTGCGACGGGTTACCGCTAGCTCCAGTCCACCTTCTTGGTCGTGGGCTTCTCTGGATGGCCCAGTAAATATGATCTTCAGCCGCGAATCAAGGACGGTCGACACCCAACTTGCAGCCACGGTGCTTGAACACCAACCCAAGCTCGAGCGAGCCGTTACTTCCTTTGCGCATACTGGGGATGGCGTTCTCATGCTGGAGGCCTATAGCCTCGACGTTGTCTGCCGCTCGTGCTCAGACGGAAGTGCGCCATACAGCGACCCTTATCTTCGCATGGTGGTCGATATTTTCGACGAGCGTGGTGTCTGTATCGGTACAGGCTACCACGATCGCATCCCAGAAGACTGTATTACCCAATGCATGGCTCTGATCGTATCGCAGAGAGTGGACACAACCTTCAGCAGCACCCCCATTACCTACTTCCTGCTGGTTGTTGAGTCGCACCGCTTTGCGGACACCTGCTACGAGCGAATAGGCATTGGGCAGACAGCCGATAAGACTTACGGTCATGTACTGGACACGTTGAACATCAAGCCTGAGCAGAAGAGACAGGTTATACTCGTCTAATACACATTCTCAGTATGTCTTTATTTCTTCGTCTTTCCTAATGCTTGCAAAAGCTTTCACTCCACGCCTGCATCTGAGTCCACCCCGCGTATACTCTTTCTCTCACCAACAACCCACCGATCAAACAACATACCTTCTGTTTTCGGCCCAGGGTGAACATCTAATATCTCATAAAACATCTCATACCCTCTTGGTCTCTCGTCTTTCTCCAGTCTCTCAAGCAGAGCAAAGTCCCTCAGGTGGGGAGTCATCTTGTACTCATACGCGCGTAGACGGTACCTCAGTACCACTTCTCTAAGATCTGCGAAACCCCCAAGCGACGCATAAAGGCCCTCACGGTGATCGGAAATGCCAACGCCGCTGAACCAAGACGAAGACCATGTATCATCTATAACGATATTTCGGATCCGAGCGAGGCGTTGCGGAAGGACTGTCGATGTGAAAATAGACAGCATCTTGTTATTGTCGAATCTGAACGTGTTATTGGAGTAGAGCACCGGAACGGCCTCGCGGTACCTGTACCTTTTGTAAGTCTTGTGCTCAACGAGACTGCCCAAAAGCGAGGAAGAAAACACACATCTTCTTGCAAGTTCTCAGCATCTCCATACTGCAGCCTGACACCGCTTTTATCCTCCAAAGATCCCAAAGTTGCTCGCGATTAAACCTCAACCCCACTTCCTCCTGCCCAGAGAGCACAATCGCATAGATCTGCAGTCTCAACTCCGCAGGCAACTTGGTAAAGAACAAACTTTGCGATTGATATTCCGCATTCTTCTTCCATACCCCCCGGGTCCTATCAACTGAAACACTGCGCTTTCGCTTCTCCAAAGCACGCACGCGTCTCCGATGTTCGATTTTAGCCAAGGCGTCATATCGCCTTTGCTGTGCTGTAGATGGACGACCGGGGCGTTTAACACAGGTGATGGGTTCGAGAGATCTGATCCAATAACACAGACCACAGAGAGGGCAAGTGACGAGTTTGCAGCAGAAGCGCAGGGTGGAGTTGGTGTGCCATGTGTATACTATGGCATCTTTGATGGGTTCAAGAATTGTCATTGTGTTGTCTGAATGGTGTGTACGTTGAGATCGGGGGTTGTTAGCTGAAGATATGTGTTGTGGGTGGCCTTGTTTGATCTTGCAAAGGAGGCACAGTTGGTGGGGCCCGTCCACTGTTGTGGCTTCGTCAGGCAACCATGTCCCGGTCAGATAGCGTATATTGGCGCAGTCTTGGTCCAACTGCTGGTCAGACCATTTGGCTGGTGTGGCTGTCTTTACAGGCGTCGCAAGGCATACTGTTTGGTGTCAACACATACTCTGAACGCTGGTCGCAGACCCATTCATCACAGGCCGATTACTATGGATATTCAACTCCTCTTTCGATACTTTCTGCAAAAATACGCATCTTAATGCCATCAAAACAATCTGGTGTGCTGGTATTGATGGATCTTCCACCTCGCCCAAGATATTCTGTCCTTCTTCCTATCGTACTCCCATTCCCGTAACCTCTCTAATTCCAGCGGAGACCCACGTATGATATACCATACTTCAACGCCAACCCTATCCCACCTTTGCTCGATCTCATCCAACAATTCAATATTATCCAGGCGCTTATAGGGATAAACATGCCAAGTATCTGCGCTAAAGTGTAGGTCGAGGAATTCGAGTCTGGGCAACAACCTGATCGCGGTGAAAAAGTCGTCGTATTCGTAGCTAAGACGGTATCGCTCCTCTTCAGTTGTGACTAAAGGAGTCCAGCTCGGATAGATATGCCCGATGGTGATGCGCCTGATGCTAGCTAAGCGTGGTTGTGGGATCGAGCGAGTGAAGAGGATGAAACGTCTATAACTTGTGAAGGTGAAGTCGATCTCAGAGTATAGCAAGTCGACTGCTTCGCGGTAGCTGGCGAGACGATTAGGTTATGTACCGAAATTCGAGTGTGCGGGTACTTACATTCTGCGGCAGGTGCGTAAAATGCCTGTTGAGCGTCCAGGGTCGGCGCTGAACTTGAACATATCATTCTGTGCGCCATCATCTGCATCCACAAGAATATTCTCAATATCGCGAAATACCATGCCGTAGATCTTTAATCGCAATTCTGTTGGTAACTTTGCGAAGAAGTCACTCTGGTTTTGCTCCACGGTTTTCTTCCGTCTCGTAAACGGCATCTTGGTGTCCTTCCCGTCCACAGACAGACTTCGCTTTCGGTTTGCCACGGCCCGCTCTCGCCGCGCCTGCTTTACCTCGCTCATGACGCGGACGCGCTCTTCTTGTTTTCTTCTCCGATTCCGCCCAGTGCAGTCGCGGAACCCAGCGGAGTGTTTGCAGTAAGGATAGCCCAGACATGGGCATGTGAAGCGCTTTACCCAGCGACGAAGGCGGGCGCTGTCGTTCCAAGCGTATAGGACAGACTCATGGATATAAGTGAACGGTTGCATCTCTAGCCTAACAGAATTTTGTGATGATGAGTTAAGAAGATTGTTTTTTTTTGAATGACCTTGCGGATTGAAATGTTGACGGACGCTGGTGAGGCTGAGCATCGGGTGGCTATGCGGGGCCCTACAATAGGCAACAACTATGTACCATGCCGTTTCGAAAGAATAACAAAAGTAAGCGCTCTAGAAGTCTGCATCGCTTTGGAACTTTGTAGAGACCTGTTTCAATACTCATGTAGTCTGCAATCATCTGTCTAGGTTGTTGCTTGTGTGCGGCAAACATGAGGAGAGGGAATGAATGCGCGACACTCTGCGCGATCAAGCGCGACTGCGCATACAGGGTGTAGCCAAATTACACTATGCGGCAAGCTTTGCAGGCCGATGGGATACGAGGAAACTGATAATGTGCATACTGAACATTCAGAGCTGTCTGGAGTTTCCATGAAAGGTCTGAAGCTGTTGTTCTCCGAACGGAAGGAGCACAAGAGCCAAGTCGGATCAACAAAGCAAGAGCCCAGCATCCGGGTTACCAAAGTTAGTCATTCCACAATTTCCCCGCCCCCGCAAACCTAGCCTCACACCAGCTCCACCGAACCCATTCGCATGGCACCACTGGCAGCCGGGTATACGGGACTCACGGAGACATCTCCTAATATCGTGACTATGCCAGCCCCGCTCCCGATGATACCCCAGCGTGCAAGCGGACGCGGCCCTCTTGTGCGAGCCGCGTCGCCTTACGATGCCCGCAATCCGGGCTTGGCCATTCGTCCAGAACCCGCTACATACATAGATATGTAGGGCGGCACGGCGGCGACAGTGGGTACCCTCTTCTAGATCACATGTACACCTGGGGGCTGTGCGCATACGTTCCGAGAAGCGGAACCGAGGTCGCTCCTTTTTAGAGTTGGTAAAGCGGAGGTGCAGATCGTGTCATGTCATCCGCTATTGAAAGCGCATTCGTAAATACGGTCGTTGATCGAGAGGAATCTGAGTTATGGGACTACCGAACTGGGGTGATCAAGACCGGGCTTCTACATTCACCATGCGCGCAGCAAGATACTACGGGAAAGAGGACATCAGGATTGAGGATGTGGATGAGCAGAAGTGCGGGGCGGGACAAGTCAGGGTATGTGTTTGGTTCTTTAGAAGCGGCTTGCGCGATGACTGACAGTGAGTAGGTCGCACCGGCCTTCGTAGGCATCTGTGGTACAGATCTCCATGAATACCTCGGAGGACCCAACTTCGCGCCGACGACACCGCACCCGTGTACGAACGAAACGATTCCTATTACCCTGGGGCATGAGTTCTCAGGCACTGTGACTGAAGTGGGCTCGGACAACTCGAGCTTTACGGTGGGCCAGAATGTCGTTGTTCAGCCGACGATATATTGTGGGAAATGCGAGGCGTGCAAGGCGGGCTCAGAAAACGTATGCGAAAACGGTGGCTTCATCGGGCTCTCGGGAGGAGGTGGTGGTTTGAGCGATTCAGTCGTTGTGCCTGAAGGCGCAGTATTGAACTTGCCCACCAACGTGCCGCTCGACGTCGGCGCGCTGGTGGAGCCACTGGCTGTTGCGTGGCATGCTATCTCAGCTGCTCCACTGACACCCGATTCCGTCGTCATGGTCCTAGGCGGTGGACCGATCGGGCTGGCAATCGTCCAATGTCTCAAGGCACTGGGCACGAAGAAGATCATCGTGAGCGAGGTATCCGGCGCGCGGCAGCGCTTCGCGAGGGAGTTCGGCGCGCACCATGTCCTCTGCCCCAAGACATATGATGTTGCGAAGATGAGCAAGGCTTTGAGTGGTAAGGATGGACCGGACGTGGTTTTCGACTGCGCTGGCGTTCCCGCAAGTCTCACAACGGCTTGCACGGCGGTGCGCGCTCGAGGGACCGTCGTCAACGTCGCGATCTGGGAGAAGGAGGTTCCATTCAATCCCAACATGCTTGTGTTCCGGGAAGCGCAGTACACAGCCGTTTTGGGCTACCAAAGAAAGGACCTCGAGGCCGTCATTGAGCATCTAGCTGCCGGTAAGTTGTGCGGTGGGCGAAATTTGCTACCTACGGTTGCTGACATGTCTCTAGGTACTCTGAAACCCATGAAGATGATTACCAGCAAGATCAGCCTAGAGGACCTAGTAGAAGGTGGGATCAAAGCCCTGATCAATGACAAGGAGAACCATGTCAAGATTCTGGTGGAAGTTGGAGGTATGAGTCGCGTGGATTCTGCCATACACTGAAGTTGTCGTGTTTAAATAGATCGAAGATATCCAGTAATGCTATGAGCGTGTTATGGTTGTAAAGCTTGAGTGATATTTTGCTGTTGACGTATCAAAGCGTGACCATTTGGGTTCGCAGCTCCACCTCGGTCCTGGGCAGCTTGCAGGGTCCAGCATGCCGTCACTTCCGCAAAAGTAATCCACGCGTCTGGTGAACACCAAACACCCCACTACCTGCTATCATGACTTTGATAGACGCATCAGTTCATGCCTTCATAATCGCCCACATATTTCGATCACCATACTAACGATAATGTCTTCGCTAACCCTAGACTCAATGGCTTGTTGCCAAGCGCCGTATACGGTGCGGCTGATACCCATCTGCGGTAACGAGCTTTGTGCGCTGCAGTGTGGTGCCTCTGTAACGACAAGAGAGCGTCTTATGCTTGCTCTAGAGTTCACTGATATCACGTTGTAGGCCATGTCGCAGTACAACTCGATGCCGTCGCCAGGGGCCTACGTTCCTCCCACCCAGAACGCTCCAGCGCACTCGCAAGGCGCCCAGCAGCCCTCGAGCTATCAGCCCAATACCACGAACTATGGAGTACAGTATCAAGCTCAGAAGGGAGGGGGCACGTTTGGCCAGATGATGAACCAGCGGCTTGAGCAGGCGGTGACAACAGGAAAGCCAATGCTGAACAAGCTGGGCAAGACTATAAGCTCAAAGCTAGGGAACAAGCCTTCGGGAGGCCCGCCGCAGCATCTCCAGAGCTATCAGAGTTATCAGACTCACTTTGGACAGCAGGGCCAGAATCAACCATACCAGCAACCTCAGGGTCAGGCTTTCAGTCCTCAGCCGCAACAGCAGCAATGGGCACCACCGCAGCAACAACCCCCACCTCAAGCGCCGAATGCCTACCCATCTTCGCAGCAATCTCAGTATCAGCAACCCAGCTACTCTACACCCGCTTCCGGCCACTCGGGGCAGACCAACTACTTCCCACCGCAAACCACCCAAGCACCCAACACACAGTCTCATACGCCACAGTCGCCGCTCACTAGCACGGGGCATACTTCATGGCAATACGGTCAAGGCGGAGGGATCGCGGAGCATACACAGATACAGAGATACAATGGGCAGAATCAGGCGCAGCCGGGTCAGCCTCAGGCGCCTGTCGCACAACCGACACAGGAATCTGGCCAATATACTGGACAGCAGATGGGAGTAGTGGGAGGCTCTCATGTCGCTCAACATACACCACCACCCCAGACTTCGACTATGTCTCCAGGAATACCCGCCCAGGTCATGCAGCCGCAATGGGAACAGGCTACCGGGCAGCAGTCGGGTTCCCCAACATATCCCACACAGCAGAACACCACTGCAGCAAGTCCGCCACCTCATTCACAGCACCAGTGGAATAGCCCGTCTCCAGGTGGTGCATATGGCCAAGGACAGTCGCAGGTGCCCGCCCACTCCGTCAGCCCTCCGCCTACACAGCCGATGACCATGGCACCTCAAGTGCCGTCAAACAAGCCTGCACAGTCAAGCCAGTCGTCAACGCCCGCACCACATCAGTCTCGATATTCTGCGCCACACGAGTTCATTGCGGAGCTTCCTGCAGATCTTGGAAATTTGGCTATTGCAGAATCGAAGCCGAAGGAACAAGAATCATCGGTCGTAGGCTCGCAATATCAAGCCTTCCACCCCTCGCTATCTCCGACTGGATCGCCATCGCCTGGCTTTACCATTCCTCGGCGGTCGTTTAGTGTCAGCACGATTCCACTGGCTGATCCGTGGAGGTTTGCAGATGCGATCACTGAAGTTCCAACACGCGAGTTCTACATTCTGGCCGATTTGCTTTTCGACGCTCTGGACCGGAAGTTTGAGCCAAAGAACACGGGCCTTCTAGAAGCACCAAAGATCATCGGAAGCTGGGTGAAATTGACCGAAGACGCGTGTCGTGAGTGTCTGAATTGCCGACAGATGATGCAAGACTAATGTGAAGTCAGGTCTTTTTTGCTACAGGTCCTATAGCGCTTTTGCAAAGCTGTGGAGTCTCGAGGGTATCCCCCACATCATGGTGCCCTGCCAATCCAACCTGACACCAAACTGGAACTTTAATCAACATTCGCATGCGCAAGATGCAAAAGTAATCGCTGATGCGCCAACGCCCATGACGGTGTACACGACCTACATGCCGGCTCTGAACCGGGCGGGATGGTACAAATTCTTCTTTCTTGAGATGATGCACGCGCCAGAAGATATCGGTGATTTGATGGCACTGTGCGCAGACACGTATAAGCCGGGGGTGCTGAACCACCCCGACCTCAACAAGCGGGACAGGACAGAAATGCCAGTACTGCAGGCCAGAGCTGCAGAAATCCAGACATTTGCAATCGGGCGCGTGTGTGAGGAGACGAAGGCTGCGATGGCGGTCGACCCCGATGTTCTTCCGGCGCACACGCACTCTACCGCACCTACCTCGGGACCCACGCAGACTGGGGCAGGTATGACGCCACAGGACATGACGGTGAGAATGCACAAGATCCAGGCAGAGCGGCAGTTGAGTGACATGGCAGCCTGGAAATGGTAGTTTTGCAGGCGAGAGGTTATGGGGAAGGCAGTTTCGTGTAGAATGGACAAACACAATGCGATGACGGCAATGCCGTGTAACCGTAAACGCTGCGCTGGCCATGGTGCGACGGAATTGAATGCCGATGGCGATGTTTGCCCAGATCTTGTCCTCGAGTGCCCAGAGGGCTAGCAAATTAGTGGGCAGGCGTTGACAGGCGCAAGTTCCAACGTCGGCGCGGGTACCTGCCTTGGTGCCGGTGGCGGTGTGGGTGTAGAAGGCGCTGTCGCACGCACACGATGCGCTTTCCTGTGCCTTCACCATGGCCTACGTGGACGGCCGTGGCTCTCGTATTGTTCCCCAGGAGTTCTACGGGCGTCATCCCTATAGGGTGCATGGTCGGCCATGTTTCATCTCGGCAAGCGGTTGTGATCTCAACGATAAACATGCAATCTACGCATTGACGTCCACGCGTTGGGCCTTTCCCGATTGAGCGTCGATCTGCAGGTACACCTTGCTTGTTGCGCCTTGGGCCTTGCTTTGTGTGGAAGTCGCGCGAGGGTTGCACCAACAAATAATTCTGGCCGGCCTCGCGTCCAGCCTCTTATCTTGCACCCTCCCATCGCCGCTTTTCTGCTATTCTTCACGACTTTGACGCTGCAAGCCCATATCACGAGTATCTTCTATCCCGCACTCTTCTTACTATCACGAGTAATACGATACGACATACCCTCCCATACTTGTGGGTCTTAGCTTGTCAGGGATCCTCGACCGTCACCATGCGCACTTCCACCATCTTCGCTCCGCTTTTCCTCGCGGCCACTGGCCTCGCCCAGGCCGTCGAGGAGGGCATTGCTCCCGATGCCTCTGCGCCCGAGGGCTGCAAGACGACTGTCACGACGCCCTTCCGGATTGGCACACTCGAGAACCCCAGTCTCAGGAGGCGCGAAACTGCTCAAGAGGTATGCCGCTCCCCTGGACTCCTACTCGTAACGTCATACTAACACCATCACCAGGCATCTGACGGCGACCTCCTCTGCACTCTCGAAGACGGTATCCTCCACGACCAATACGGCCGCACCGGCTCCATCGTCGCCAACCAACAGTTCCAGTTCGATGGCCCTCCCCAGGCAGGCGCAATCTACACAGGCGGCTTCTCGGTCTGCGGCAACGACTCGCTCGCCATAGGAGGCAGCACCCGCTGGTGGCGCTGCATGAGCGGTGCTTTCGGCAACCTGTACGACTCGTGGATTGGCGACCAGTGCCACGAGATCCGTATCCAGGCTCTCTTTGACGAGACTGCCTCGAGCATGAGCAGCGACATGAGCATGTCGATGAGCAGCACCACCTCGAGCGCCCTGTCCGGATCTACTAGCATCATCTCCGCCAGCGAGACCAGCGGCCTCACCAGCGAGAGCAGGAGCATGCACTCCATGTCAACCGGCTCTGCTTTCTCCTCTGCCACACCCTTCTCCAACAGCGCGACTGCCACTGGCTCTGAGGGTGCCGAGGCCAGCGAGACTGGTGACGCCGCCGCCCCCCCTGCTGACGGTGCCGCTTCGTCCATCTCCATGGCTCCTTTCGCCATGGTCGGCGCGTCCATGGTCTTCCTCGGCGCTGCTCTCATTCTCTGAGCATAGCATTACACCACCGAGTTCTTTTGAGAAAACTTCTTCTTATTCCCGCGCATGGCATGGCAGGCTTCACATTACCCCTGCATGTCCACCGCCTCGCCTCGCATTGCATTACTTCCACCGCATGTCTTCCCTGCATTAGCGAGCATGTCGCCGGCGCTTGTTGTTACTCTTCATGTTGATAGTTTGCGAGCGCAATGATTCGATGAGCTAGCTTTGGCGCATTTTTTGTTTATTATGGTTTGATGCAGCGCATGGTGTTTTGAGACATACACATTACGCATTCGGCATACCGAGCTTGGGATAGATTCCAGGCCTTAATCATAATACTTTGGAACACTTTGTCTTGAAATTGCTAGTTGATCGTGATGTTGTGTGATGCTGAATCCTTAATCGGGTATGTAGTGTAACAGAGGAGTTGTCACATACACATCACTTTGGTAATACACAGGGTGTACTAAAACATAATCGAAAGGTATAAATGGCAGGGGATCCTGTACGTTTGCTAGTACAGACAACAATGTATGCCTCGATCAGGAGTATAGAACACCGATTGGCAGAACCTAATCTTCTTGAAGCCATCCGAGCTAACGCGGATGCTGTTCTTTGATCATAGTACCATCGCGCTATTCTGTCTCCACGGTGGATGTATAGGTAAGCACCACCAGCTGGACACCTCGAAACACTGTTCAAACAACAGGCAAAATATTAGAAGTATATCTAGTCCACCGAAGATCATTCCCACATCGAAAGAAGATAAATCATCCACCATGCCAGCCCGCCCGCAGACCCATTCCATCCCACCTCTCAATCCTGCCATTACATCCCATCATCTGCCACCATCTCAAAAATCACTCCCCAGCTCATCAAAGCTATCATCCGGCACAGCCATGGCCACATTACTACTCTCCAGCAGTCCCCTCACCCTCTCCACCACCTCCCTCTGCCCCCGCCACTTTTCCACCATCGCCTCAATCTTTGCCCTGAGTTCATCACTCCACGCGACAGGATTCCTCGGTATATTCTTCGCATTGCGAATCACAGCCGGCAGCAGAATGTTCGTTTGGAAACCAGGCATGTTCATGTAGGATTTGAATTCAGAGTATGTTTCGTCTAGGTCGCGGAGGGCGGACTCCATGGTTTGGTAGGAGGAGTGCAAGGTGTGGAGGTAGGTGAGTTGGGAGGAGGTGAGGGAGGCGGCGCGGCGGAGGAGGAGCAGTGTGGTTATGGCGTCGTTTTCGGTGGGCGTGAGGCTTAGGGGCGTGTGTTTGGGGGATGGGGCGCTGGCCCAGAGGGGTGGGAGGAGCCGTAGGTGCCAGAGGATGCGGAGGTCGTCTTTGCTGTCGGTGAGGGAGCGCATGAGGTGCGTGCGGCGGACGGAGCGGAGGCAGTCTTCGTGGTGGGAAAAGGTGTAGGGTGAGTCGGTTTTCTGGGTGGTGGTTGTTAGTATGTTCATACGAGCGGTTTTGAAAATAGACGTACTTGTTCGAGTAGTAACCGGTATTGTCGCTCCGTCTTGAGGAAGCGGACGAGCATGTCTTTCCACGCAACCCGTATCAATCCCGTTTGCAGTGTGACATCGACGTCGAAGTGCATGCGCCGCCATTCGCACGGGAGATCCATATCTAGGACCGCGTGGTCGAGCCGGATGCACCAGCGCAACGTCCCGAAATATTCTTCCCTGCGGCGCAACTGCAGTCGGTCCAAGACACTATACCAGTCTGAGTCCACGTCGAGAATGGTATCGCCATCATGCGCTTCCGCACCGCCTACGTGCCTAAATGCGTCATACCACTCCTCTGCGATCTCAAAAACGGCGTGCGTCGCGCTCCACGCGGGTCGATTTGTCTCCGGGTCTGACGCAGTGTCCCACTCGACGTGCGAAAATCCCGCTTCAAGTAAATGGACCGACTCATACTGTTCGTCGTCCAAGTCCACCATGAGTCCAAAATCTCTCGCGCCCATGTACCCCACCAGCTCCGTCCTCTGCAGACAGCGGTATAGAACCCGCCCGTCGATCGCATCGCGAAAGCCACGGCAGACTAAACGCCAGTCGAGAATATAGTCCACAGGGACATGTTCGAGGATTTGTAGGAGCAGTTCTGCGGGGAGGTGCGCTAGCGTCCTGTTCGTAGAGGAGGGCGATCGGTCTTGGCTCGAGTCTATGGCGGTGATGAGCGCAGCGACATCGTCGGTGGAGAAGCCGAGCTGGATATGCCTGGCGAGGTAGGAAGGTAGGGGTGCGTTATCGTGGTTATCGTTGCTGGAGGAGGGGGCGTGGATGGGGAGGCCAGCGGGCGCTCTAGCGCGCCCCGGTGACTGCGACATTAAAGTTGATCCCAGGTGTGGAGATGCGGGGATGCGCGATGGTTAGGGGATGGTGTGTGTTTTAGTGTCGGTCCGAATCGGCAGGCACGTGGTGTGGCACAGCGCCAGCTGCGTTCCAAGGGATTGCCAGATGTGTGCGACGACGCGAGTCCCGTGATATTATCAGCGATGGCATCGTGCCTAAGGACTTGCTGTTAATAGTGAGTTGAGGTAAGGTTCACGATCGTCGACGCGTGTCTTGCTACTATTTCTGAGCTGGCCGTGCTTGCCTCGGTACACCGCGACACTCCCTCAACCTCTTTCGAGGGACTGGCCAAACACCATGGAGGCTACATCGACGTTGATGCAGCTACTTTGCGTCTTTTCATCTCGGGGTAGGCTGCAGGCCTGTTCAATTCCCTTCTCAACCCGATGCTCCCCTCAACCACGACCCGCCCAGGAATGCGCCGCATGAGTTCAGGAACTCGCGTATGTTCGGCAACTCGAGAGCAGAGAGCTATCCTTAGACTCTAGAGCGGAGCGAGTGGGTAAGAGATTTTAGCTACTGATGGTTTAGTTCAGCGGCTCGCCCCAAGTGGGGTACATGTCCATCCCAGTTCTGTATGCATAGTCCGCAGCTTCCTACGGATATGGACAGCCGTTCAATTTTTTACACAGACTCCAGCGCATGAGGGGAAAGCTATTCCGACGGCGCAGCAATGCATCTCAGCATGGCTTCCAGTCCATCTTTGGCTCGCTCAGCGCCTTCTACCCGCCATCCTCATCATACCGACCAACTCCTTGAAACGATTTCAAGATGGCTCCCGCAGTCCGCCGACCCGTACGCGTGGGCGGCGCCTCAGGCGGCTTCTCCGACCGTGTTCGAGCCATCGCATCCCTCGCCAAAGACGACGTCGATGTCATAGTAGGGGACTGGCTCTCCGAAATGACCATGACCATGCATGGCACCGGAAAGCTCAGGAACAAGGAGCAGATGCTCCAAGCTCGTTCTTTCGAAGAGAAGCTCAACTATGCCATGTTCGCTGAGAACTTTATGGACTGCTTTACTCCTGCGATACAGGATATCGCTACCCATGGCATCAAAGTCTGTGTCAATGCGGGTGCATCGGATACGGAGCTACTGGCTCAGCTTGTAGATAAGACGTGCAAGGAAGCTGGGTATCCGATGAAGGTTGCTTGGATTGAGGGTGATGATGTTACGGGTACTGTCAAGAGTATGCTGGATAAAGGCGAGGGGTTTAAGAGCTTGATGCATGATAGATCGGTATCTGAATGGGGTCTGGAGCCGGTTTGCGCTCAATGTTATCTTGGTGGTCTGGGTATCGCTAGAGCACTGACGGAAGGCGCTGACATCGTCATCGCCGGTCGTGTCTCGGATGCTTCGCCAATCATTGGTGCCGCTGCATGGTGGCACGAATGGACGAGTGATCAATTCGATGAATTGGCTGGCTCTCTAGTCATTGGTAGGTCGTTTCCAATCACACGTGTACGTTGTACTAATATTTCCAGGCCATCTTCTTGAATGTGCCGCGTATGTATCTGGTGGTTTCTGCTCCGACTTTCGCAGTCTCCTAGCTCAAGGCAAGCATATCAACATGGGCTTCCCAATCTGCGCCATCGACAACAAAGGCGAGGGCGTAATGTACAAGGAGAAGAACACCGGCGGCTGCATGACAGTCAACTCAGTAACATCCCAGCTTCTCTACGAGATTCAAGGCCCACTATACTACAACTGCGACGTCACCGCAGACCTAACCGACATCAAGATCGAACAGATCGGCGAAGACCAAGTCAAAGTCTCTGGCATCAAAGGCCTGCCACCACCCCCAACAACCAAAGTCGGCATCACAGGCTTCGCCGGCTGGCAAGCCGAATACCACATTTATCTCGTTGGCCTGCACATGGAAGAGAAATGCCGCTGGATCGAAGAGCAAATCCGGTACGAACTCGGGCCCGAATTGATCAAGAAGTTCGACGTCCTGAAATTCATGCAGAACGGGTCCTCCGTCGTCGACGCCCGCAACCAAGACGTCGCCACGGTCGATTTCCGCGTCTTCGCCCAATCCCGCGATAGAGAGTTACTCAACATGCGCAACCCCAAAGGCTTCTTCCGCATATCCATGGTAAACTTCCTCATGTCGTGTCCAGGCGCGTCACTGGGCAATGACGTGCGGCAAGCAGAGGGAAAGCCATACTACGAGTACCATCCCTCACTTCTTCCGCAGTCAGCCGTCAAGCAACGCGTGCATTGTATCTGGGATGGTGAAGCCACGAATGACTTCGCAGATGGCAAGAAAGTGATCGACATGCCCCTCGCACCTTCATTTCGCGAGTACCCGCGCCAACAACCCTCCTACGAAACTACATCACCCATCCCACTCTCCCACTTCGGTCCTACGATTCGCCTCCCCCTCGGCTCCATAGTCCTCGGTCGCTCAGGCGACAAGTGCTCAGACGCCAATGTCGGTTTCTTCGTCCGCCACGCCGATGAATGGGAGTGGTTGCGAAGCTTCCTCACTGTCGATAAGGTGAAGGAGTTGCTAGGGCCAGAGGAGTACAAGGGCAAGCCGATAGATCGGTTCGAAATGCGGAATGTGAAAGCGGTGCACTTTTTGTTGCATGATCATCTGGATCGTGGGTATGATGCTTGTAGTACGTATGATACGCTGGGT